AAATCTACAAATGCCTAAATAAGTAAAAGCTTATAATTAAAGTGGATACAAATAAATAAATATTACATTTATTTCTGCATTTCAGTGTCTGTATGTTAATGAAATAGGAGGTCCCAACTTCTGCATTAACTTTATTCATGCATTTATTGCTTTATTTCCATTTTTATTTCAGCATTTATTTAGTCTTTTATTAAATATTTTCTATATTAATCTATTTAGTCCTGTATTTTTTTAATTTATTCATTTATTTATTCATACTTTTGTCATTTATCGTCCTCCATACATAGATCTGAGTCTTGAACAGCCTTCACTTATTAGCTTCTTGAATGTAACCTGAGTCTTTAGGACCACATCTACAATATAGCTTAAATGTAACCACTCTAATTTCTAGTCACGTCATATAAACACACAAGTCCTTCAGTTGACCACACAAATACCATATCTCGCAGTAATGGATTAGTAGAAACATTTGTGGATTTCCAGCATTAAAAAGCCATGCATTTTTTTGACAGTTTGCCATGTTTTATCTTTCAATGTTCAGAAATTCTTGCTCTTTGAAATTTGATGTCAGCTGTGAATCAAACCCAGCAAACGTGGAGATGCAGCCTTCCTCTAGGACTCTGATGATACTTGAAATATACAATAATTGAAGCCCTCCAGGTGAACTGTCAGGTCCTCAAAAGCCGGATCATCATCACCCTTATGTTTTATTTGCAATTATTGGAAATGTATGTAAAAACTTAATTCTTTGGTTCAGGTCTGCTCACTCACACCAGGCTGCCTGGAGCGGACCTCTCTTCCACCCCAACAGTACAATAAATACCCAAATGCAATGTAGAGACCTTAATGTCCTGTACGCACTACATGTTAATCTGCACTATATGTACAAACTTTGGGAATGTGTGTCCTTTTTTATTTTTTAAATTTCAATGTTCAAACGGCTTGGTATGTAAATAAATCAAAACTCTATAACTGAATGTGAATAAAAACGCACTTCACCTTTGGATCAAACCACAACAGACGCCTTGCACACAACAGCAATTTTCTTTATTGTCGGGTTGACAGGTTGATCTCATGCTGCAATAACATTATTAGACTGATCTTATCTTTTTTTTTGGTATATGTTAATGATGCATTAATTGCATATTTCTGCATGAACACCTCCACAGCGAGGAGTTCATGCATACAAATACATCTGTCTAAGCTGGAGGTACAGTAGGATGGAAAACAGAGCGATCACTCCACACTGGCTGCATGTACAGCAAACACATTATTATAGTTATATACACAACATTTTCTAAAACCAGAGGTACAGAGACGGTCTTTAACAGTAAAGGTTGACGACTACTGGAGATTAAAGATCCTCGGGCCTCTAAATCACAAACCGAAACTTTGACAAAGGTGAGAACTCTTAGAACAGTCATTACATGTGATGATGACTGACTGAAGGTGGTGAGGTGAGGCATTTAGATGAAGAGGACTAGTTGTTGCTATATAACACTTCCTCTACAGCAGGTTCGTCGCTGAGCGTCGCTCAGTGAGACTGGCAGGTTATGAAGGCATTGGCAGTGATGAATTCTTTCAGTGAGGCTGAACCTTTCCGTACTGAATCTTCATCTACTCTCCTTTCTTTTCGCATCAGATGGAGCTAAAGGAGATGAGAGAAGGAGGTCACTTCAGATTATTTAAATGCTTAACAAATGGTGCCAGGTTTGGGCCATGTTCGATTTAGGTGAGGTCTTTTTTAGTTAATTATATTGCTTCTATGACAGTTTTAGGAGTGCAAGATACGACCTTGGATGTCACCTGATCATAATTAGTCTTCCATGTACAAAGAAACGTCTCGATAGAGGTCTTAAGTGATTGTGTGAAAGTTATTTGAAGAATAAATATACACCTCGGGTCAGTAAAGTGCTTGAGAAAAGTTCCTGAATGTGATTTATGTGATAAAAATCTGATGGTTTGACGCAATATTTCAGCACCAAGAGATATGAGAGCGTTATGCATTCACTGAAGAAAAAAAGCTTTTTTGACAACATTATTATCCCAGAATTCCAAGGAAAGTTTTCATAAAAAAACTATACTCTTGTTTTTCTGAATTAAAAATATTATTATTATCGCACGTTGAAAAAATATGGAGCTCCTAAAGTCCCGGAAGGTGATTTTTTTTTTTTAAACTTGTGCGCACAAGATGATCTTTTGTTGATTAAAATATCACCTTCTGGGACTTAGAATTATAAAGACTCATTTGTTGTCCGTAACTGCTTATCCCGTTAGGGGTCGTGGGGGGGCAGGGTACACCCTGGACAGGTCACCAGACTATCACAGGGCTGACACATAGAGACAGACAACCATTCACACTCACATTCACACCTACAGACAATTTAGAGTCACCAATTAACCTGGATGTCTTTAGACTGTGGGAGGAAGCTGGAGTACCCAGAGAAAACCCACGCTGACACGGGGAGAACATGCAAAACAATTAACAAGATTATTACGTCATTAATTGAGAAAAACAAGCAGATTTTTTTTCCATGAAAACGTTTCTTAGAATCCTGAGATTATCTGATCCATCCATTTTCATCCGCTTATCCGGGGCCGAGTCGCGGGGGCAGCTGGACGGGCAAAGCACCCCAGATGTCCCTCTCCCCAGCAACGCTTTCCAGCTCCTCCTGGGGGACCCCAAGGCATTCCCAGGCCAGATGAGATATGTTATCCCAATCTGGGATCCCTTCTGGGTCTGCCCTGGGGCCTCCTACTTAGTGGGACGTGCCCGGAACACCTCCAACAGGAGGTGCCCAGGAGGCATCCTGATCAGATGCCCGAACCACCTCAACTGACCCCTTTCGACGTGAAGGAGCAGTGGCTCTACTCCGAGCTCCCTCCGGATGTCCGAGCTCCTCACCCTATCTCTAAGGCTGAGCCCAGTCACCCCACGGAGGAAACTCATTTTTGCCACTTGTATCTGCGATCTCATTCTTTCGGTCACTACCCAGAGCTCATGACCATAGGCGAGGGTTGGGACGTAGATGGACCAGAAAATCAAAATCGAATCCCTGCCATAATCTCATTAATCCAGAAAAACGGGGCAAATATTTTTTTCTCAAGTGAATGCAGTTTGCTTCCATTGTTAGTTTCCCCTGCTGGCTTTTCCAAACACTGCGTGATTTTCTTTGTGTTTAAATAAAGAAAATGAAGTGGACTGTCCATATGCTTTAAGAAATAATTAAAGAAAAATCTTTAAAAGATCATTAAAAGTAATTCTGTTCTGATGAAACAGATAATTAGTAGTAAAAGACAACATAGTAAAAGCTTGAAAAGGTAGTTCTTTAACTGTGTCCCTGCATAAAATAAATAAAAACCCTGTCAGGTATCAGATCCTTCTGCATTTCACCTGTATCTTCCGATTCTATCATTTCCACACGTGGTAATAAAAACAAAAAAAGCACATCTTAAAAATACACAAGCTTTGTTTCAAACTCATTCAGCAGACTGTCTGTGTTAGTAACACTACGGGTGAGTCACAAGGCTGGCTGGATGAAGCGCTGTTAGGGTCACAAGTTCAAGCTGAGAGCTGCAGGTTGCGTATCGATCACAGCGGGTCTAAAATGTTGGTAGGATGGTGTAGAAAGGAGATGTAACGATGTATTCCCACGTTTATAGTCCTCGTTAGATGCAACAGGTCCATTCCTCTCTGTGCAGGTTTGTACGATACATCATGCTGGTGTGGCTGAAGCTACTAGGCGTTTACTTGGCATCCTACAGATGCTCCTTTGGTCCTTTAGTTGATCAATCAGGGTGCAAAGCTGGCTTAAAAGCAGAAATGGCGCGTCAGTATTGTCAGTATTGTCAACTGTGTAAGAGGGAGTTCAGGTGACTTTTACATGTGAGAGGGTGAGATATAAACAAAACACTGAAATAAAATTCTTCCATTATAAATAAACTTTAAGTTCTAGTGGAGCCTTAAAGGCAGATTTTAACATCAAATGTTAGATGTAAGGCTTTCTCTCTTTGACATGAATCTTCATAAAATAAAATGTACTCCTGATGCATTTGTTCTTACACTTTTGTAAGTTATCCCTTTTTCTCATCTACAGGCAATCCTGTCTTCCATTCTCCCAGGCTTACATACAAACAAGTCTTTGCTATGCCAGTGACACACTGGCCTAATTGTGCGTTCAGTCAAAAAAGTCTCCCAAAGGAAGGAAATGAAACCTCCTCCTCTTCCCATTCGCACTGAAACTCAAACCCCCCGACTCTGCTTGTGTTTGAGAGGGAGAAACTGAATACAAGCCCTCGCCGACGGTGGGAGAGACACTCAATCAGCCGTGTGAGGCTTATTCAGCGGCCTCGTCAGCAAAGAGGAGCAAGGCCAAACTGCATGAGACAGAAGGAGAAGTGAGAGTGATGCGGTGAATTTAGTCTGACGTAATGGCCCAATAGTGGAGGAAACGAAGCCGACATTAGTAAAGATTCACAACAGTGACTAAATGACAGTGGGGGGGGGTCTATAATTTGGAAGAGGTTCATTTTAAACTCCATCCTGGGAGAGCCGGCGTTTATGCCACAACATGCTACACTGATGAATGTCGTTGCCATTGAGTACAGACACAAGTCAAGGTCAACCATCGTTTCCAAATCTTTAACCACCGGAATGTGAAATCAAGTCTGATCCTGAACCAAGTGTTTACCCAAGGGCAACAGTTCATCGTGCATGCTCCGGGCAGAGTGCGGCCGTTTGGGCTTCCAGCAGAGGGTGGGGCTAGC